AGCTGACTTGCCCTTACTACAAAGATTTTGCAAATCAATCTGATAAACTTCAGGATATATTAAAAAATCCATGACTGACATTTTTATTTCCAAATTTAGTGCTTTTAATTAGGTACTTTCTCCATATCCAGTCTTCACAATCTGGCATGCAGTGCAAAACAGGCTCAGTTTTTTTTAGGAACAAATTTTAGAAGACTGGGGTTTTAAATGTCACTTGCTGCATTTGGATTCAGGTAAGGAAAAAGAGGAGGACGCATGGCCTTGACAGAGCAAGGGTGGAAAATGGACTGGGCAACTGACTGGGGAGCTTGCGTCCCCAAGCAGCAGCGTCACCCATTGCCCATGCTAGGGATTCTTAGGGAGTTTAAAAGTACAATAATTAAATCAGAAAATGTGACCATAGGCCAGTAGTTGTCTGAGAATCCCAGAGAAGCTATCACTGATTCTGGAAAACAAAATACCGAGTTCAAAATGACTCGCATTATTGAATATTCACTCTATAACATGAAGTCTGATTAGCAAATAGGAAGTGTATAATATATCCTTACATGTAGTAATAACCCTTTACAGTTAAAAATATATTATATGCGTACCTATGTATGCGCATGTATACATGTGCATGCACACAAACTCATTTGACACAACTCAGGGTTCCTACTAAAGATATGTCCAAGTGTAAAATTCAGATTCTAATTCAGATCTGGATATTCTGATTTAGGGTTTATACAAGATTTTGTTTAAGCCTATTGTAGGGAGAAGCAATCTTTGTAGTTTGACTCTACCATATCCAAACTTCCCCATGTTCAGAATTCGGTTCAAGTCCACCTCTGTCATGGATTTGACATACTTTCATTCTAGAGCAGGGGTTCCCAAACTTTTTGACACGGGGACCAGTAAATCCATTCACGAACTTTTGGAGGACCGGTAATGTTCTTTTGCATATTTGCATATTCATTAACCAAATGATGAATATTAATATAAGTTGTTTCTGGTCCTCCCAAAACCCCCAGTGCCAGCTTTAGCAAAGCTTTTGATATGGTCGCCCACAATATTCTTGCCAGCAAGTTAAGGAATATGGATTGGATAAATGGACTGTAAGACAGACAGAAAGCTGGTTAGACCAGGGTTTCCCAAACTTTTTACTTTAGTTGGAACCCTTTTTTTTCCAATACTGCTTTTTGCAGCCCAAAAATATAAACACATAAAAAACAAACTGAGAAAATACCAGACATATAACATGTCTGGTATT